GGTTACTGGTCCTTAAGTTTTCTGTCTGCTCAGGGAATATTACAGGTCAGGTGGCAAGGTGCTCTTGCTCATCAATCAGTTTCTGGCTGTGATTTTTATCTCCTTGCAGCAGAGAGGATTATCAACTTTAGTAGAGTTCTAACCACTTTGAAAATCCTGATGTTTATTTTCTGCACAGTCTGTGATACATGCCCATAGGTACTAACGTGGCTGATTTTTTTGCATAGCATTTCCTTTTCTTGCAGTTCAGTGGCAAAGCTGTTGGTTACGAGCGCATTCCCAGCAACCCCCTGGAAATACATCTCAGGCAAGTGCTCCTATTTTGATTGTGGTTATGAGGATGAGGAGGGTGAGGTCGCTCTAGGTTTGTTTGCCAGTGGAGGCTGGACAGATAATAGCTTTCCAACTACTTCCTGACATGGCCTTTCCTGGTGCTGCTGCATCTCCATGCCAGGCTTTGCAGCCAGTGGTCATTGGGATCTCTCAGCTCCCACCCATGAACTTTGAACTCTTCCTTCTCTCAACCCAACTCAGTTTTTACGCAGCAGCAAAAGAGGGCTTTCTGCTTCCACCCTGATATGCAGCACAGTGGAACTCTTCCCTCTTCCCCCTGCCCTATGAAGTGAGTCCCCACCACCCGCCGTTCTGGCATGTATCTCACTTCTCACTGCTCAGCACTTTCCTTATTGTGACTAGATGCTCAGGTGCCTTCTTCTCTGTGCCTTAAATAGGTTTCAGCATTTGTTCCAGCTTCTCGCTTGCCGTTCCTATCGATAGAACAATAAAGGAAGCACTGGTTGAATTTCAACAATCCAAGGGTGACAGCACATCTGTGTCAGTAACAGGGGCAAGAGGGAGGTAAGATTTCTGTATTTGTGATGAATATTTGTTCTGGTGTGATCCAAGCCGTAGGGGCAGTAAGTGAAGGCTCTACCACTAAAAGCCCGAGATAAAATTTCCCTGTTCTATAGTTTAGTATTTCATATTTTCAAATGCCATGAGTTAGAACTCATGGTTTCATAGTTTCCTGCCTGTTAGGAACAATATGCAGCTTTGAAGGGACTTGCTTAGCTCCTCCAATCTGCATCACACGTTAATTGACTCCTTTATCATCTGAGAAGCCAAGGGCTCCAGGTGACATCTGAAACTCTCACCCAAGCAAAGATTGTCCTAGCAGGCCAGCGTGCAGGAAGCTTGCCCTGCTGCTTCCTGTACCCTGAGCTGAAGGATGGGAGTTTGTGTGACTCTCAGTCTGTTCTTGCATAATCCTGGGCTTATTAGTAATGTGATTTTTCACATTTGTGTGCAGCACTCTATTTTCATTAAAGTAGCACCACATATAGGTGCGCACAGAGGTGATGAAATCCCTTAAGAAATAAGTGAATCTTTGGCTGCTTTGCTGCATTCTCCCTGCCACATCTACTCCCTTTGTATCTACGCCAGGTCTTGAGCAGTATTTGACAAACATTGTTAAAAAAAGAGAGAATTTCCCTCAGAAAGTGTTCTCCCTTTCCCTGGCAGGTGGGTTCCCTGTACCCCCTTTGAAGGTACTGTGCAGCCAGTGATAGAACAGTCCCAGTGCAGATAGAGCAGTCCTGGTCCCAAAGTGTTCTGAAAACCTGCCTAGAGAGGACCGTGTGCTAACGTGGAAAGCATTGCCATAATGTCAATAATAAATAATGGCCATGATAGTTTCATACCATTAGACAAGGATAATTCCCAGCCTCCTGCACTTAATTCTTGGAAGACTCTCAAATAAAATATAATTACTTTGAAGTTCTCTGGATACCAAATTGCCACTACATTTTGAGGACTTTGAATCTTCCTCTGAGTTCAGTACCTGTGACTCCTGGAGCCAAGTGTTAGAAATGTTTAGGAACCTGCCCTTGCACACAGCCACACGAGAATTCACGTTCTTGTTTTGGGTTATGTGTTTGATGAGGTCTGGATTCGAGACAGCACTAACTTTCTCATTTCAGGTTAAGCATTTTTTCATTCAAAATGGGACTATAATAGTTGCTAAAATGATGTGCTGAAAAATTGCTTCAAGCAAGTGTGATATTAAAGAGTTTTACAGACAGTTTCAAAGGTAACAAGCGTGGTCCCCAAGCAATGATTTTAAAAACTTATCTGTATCTTAGGAATCATCTGCCCCATGTATAGTCTGGACATCAGTGGCCTGGGGAGTGCTAGGCAGAGGTCTGAGCACCGGGATGTCTGCATGCTTCTGTCATCGTGCAGCAGTTTGTGCCAGGCAGCCTGACTCAGTCTTTGCACCTGATCATTTTCTTTCTTAGCTGCAGAAGTGATGAAGGAGCATTCTGCTGCTTGGATGCTCTGCAGTGTTCTCTTCCCACCTCAGGGCTCTAAGAGAATCTTATTTGTGTCATCAAATAAGGCAGCACTTCTTAGAGAATAACCCCAGAAAGACCAGGAAATGGAGTGTGGGTATTTTCTGAGAGCAGGCTAAACAGTGTAGCTGAAAGAGGACGAGCAGCTTGATTCCTTGAGCACGTCCTTTATTGCTCTGTCATTCTCTGGGAGCATTAAGGGCTGTGTTGAAGAAGCCGCATCAGTTTCAGATGTTATGCACCTCATTAATCAAAACACATCCTTTTGGAAGGCAGTTGATTGCAGCTTAGGCACAGAAGTGCATCCCTAGTGCCTCAATAGGAAAAAGTAGAGGAAAATGACCTTTAATGCGATCGCTGGCTTAGTTCACAACATCTCATCTGCATTTGAAAATCAAGATTTATTTCTCCAGAAAAGCAGACCTTGCAATTGAAACAACAGTATTAAGTCATACTTGTACCAGGTAGCATCTCTGTAGAGTATTTCAAACGAGTCTCGGCCAGTCCAGGTTGTGCTCGGAGGTGATAGGAGAAGAGGAGCAGGTGAATGCTTCAGAGAAAGGATTGGAGAGAGAACAGGCAAACAAGGATGAAGAAGCAGGTGCTGCCTGTGGGCACGGCGCAGTCACTGCTGATGGCTACGTTCCCTTAAGTGAGAGCTAAGTAGCATCCTGCTGCTTTAAATGGCACGGTTACCTTAGGCCGATAGCAAGGTATTCCTGGGGGAGGAAGGGGGAACGGTCGCTTGTGGAAGCACAAGCACAGCTGTTCTCAGGGAGATGGTGATGATTTCCTCACTGCTTGCAGTGGACACTCGCTGCCTGTGCTTCTCTCTCTGCAAAGTTCACGTGGCTTCCTTCTTCGGGGAGCTATGATTTAAATGTATAAAACAACAAGCTGCATCTACTGAGCCTATGCAAACACTCTCTTACATGGCTAAACGGATTCTTAATTGAACTCCGCTGGTTTCAAAGGCTTTACATTAGGAAATAATTGGACTCGGTTTATCAATCTAACGCTTCTTAAGCACTAGGGAATAAACAGCCGTTCCCAAAGAAGGGCAGGGCTCGGCTGATTGCCACGTCTTTTCTTCCTTTTCTCCCAAACGGCGAAAGGCAGGGAGAAGCCCTCTTTTAGCCATTCTCCTCGGCCTCTGCTACACGCGCTGCGCCGGAGCAGGAGGGAGGATTCCCAGCGGATCTCCCTGCCCGCAGGAGCGGCCGGGGCCGGGCGCAGGAAGCGCTGACTCAGTGCCCGAGCGAAGTGGGCTTCCCCGTGTGCCGTGCGAGAACCCACGCCTCGCATCCCGCACGGCCCTGCCCTGCCCTGCCCGGCCCCCTCGTTACGGTACGGGAGCCCTTGGAGATGCTGCTTGTCTTTTTGAATGACTTTTACGGCTCCAGCCCCTCAGGGGAGAAGTAGTAGCGTTTCGCACGTCTGACGGGAGAGCACGCAGCGGAGGAAGAGATGCTTTTAAACCTTGGGTGGTGAAACACACGGTGGGCTTCCCGGCAGGCAAACTTCTGCCTGAAAAGACGGGCGTTCCCCAGCTCCCTGCTTTGCATGCGAGTGCGATTTTCAAGGTGAACCGATACTTTTCCTTTAGATTGGGATTCGCCCCTGCCCACAAACCCCCCGTGTCTTCGCGAGAAAACCTGCGGCAAAGCAGCTGCAACTCCAGAAGGAGAAAGGCTCGTCAGCGTGGAAGAGAAAAAGGAATCTCGCTCCTCTTATTTTTACGACGCTGCTATTTTTAAATTACCACCGCTGCGCTGCCCGCAGTTCTCGCTGTTACACCACATTAAGCCGGGCTCTCGCTCAGGCAGCGCCGAGGCGCGGCGGGCTGCTGGGCAGCGCAGTGCCCTCCTGGTGCAGCCCCGCTGCGCTGCGCTGCGGCGAGCGCTGACAGCCACACGCAGCCTCGGCAGCCAGACGTTGCCCTTTTAAGAAGCCCGGGTGCTGGCTCAGGTAGGCAGAGCCTGAGTGCAGTAGTCGCTCCTATGGCAACCCACAGAATGGGATCGCTTCATGAATATTCCCAGGAGCAGGGGCTGCATGAGGAATAAGTGATGACAGTGATGTAAGCAAGCAGTGGCCGCTGCAGGTTGCAGTTCATTGTGTTACTGGCAGGCAGGTTGAGGAGTTTGAGGTACCCGGGCTTGCGTTTGGCTTTCTGGAGGATGACTGCCCGCCCGGAGACACGGCACATTTGCATCTGGAAGCCAACATGGCAAGGCTGCTGCCGCTGCCGCCCTGCCTCGCCTTCCAGCCAGGAGTGCGCGGCTGTCCTCTAGACTTCTTGCCCGGTGCGCTGGATCTGAGCAGACAGGGATTGCAGTAGCACTCACCAAGGGGAGGCAAGCAGCAAGTAGCCAAATCGGGACGAGGGAGGAGAGGGGGGGGCTTTTTCGCCTTCCCTCCTTTTTTTTTTTTTTCTTTTTTTTTTTTTTTTTTTTCCTTCCGTTCTGGATGCGGAGCCCGTGCTTTGATGCAGAGCCTGTGGATGCCACAGCCTGGTAAGGAGATGACACGCCAGTCTCTGGTCCCTCCTGCCCCTTGAGCCGGGGGCAGGGGCCTGGGGCAGCGCCGCTCCGCTCCTCGCGCACTGCCGGGGTCCCTCCCTCCACCTGAGCAGCAGCAGCAGCGGCCATGGACAAGCTGCCCCCCTCCATGCGCAAGAGGCTCTACAGCCTGCCCCAGCAGATAGGACCCAAGGCGTCGATCATGGACGAAGAGGAAGACAGCGACAAGGACACCCGGAGGAAAAGCATCAGGCTCAAGCCGCTGCCTTCGCCCTCTGCTGGGAGCACCCGGGCGCTCGGGGGAGACCCCGGCAGAGGGGAAGACCCCGGCTTCGTAGAGACGGAGGCGGGCAGCAAAGGTGCCAAGACCAGCACCAACGGGGACTGCCGCCGCTTCAAAGGGAGCCTGTCCTCGCTGACCAGCAGGCACCTCCACGACGCGGCCGAGGAGAAGAGGCTGATCGGCGGCGAAGGGGAGCCGGCCTCCCCCGGCGAGGACAAGAGCCCCTCCGGCAGCGGGGAGACGCAGGGACTGCCGGCACCCCCGCCGCCAGCTTCCCCCCCGGAGCCCCAGCAGCAGCCCCTCCGGGCTTGCTCCTCTACCTCTATCAAAGTGGAAGGAGGTGGAGGGTGTGACCAGATCACCCCAGATGAGGAGCAGAGGCTGGGCCAAACCGGGTTCATGCAGAGGCAGTTCGGGGCCATGCTCCAGCCGGGGGTCAACAAATTCTCCTTGAGGATGTTTGGCAGCCAGAAGGCCGTGGAGAGGGAGCAGGAAAGGGTTAAGTCTGCTGGGTTCTGGATCATCCACCCCTACAGCGACTTCAGGTACCATCTCCCCTTCCCGGCCCGCTCAGAACTACCTGGCCTGCCCCTTCCCCTTCCCTGTCCAGCTCAGACCTCTGCGCACAGCACACGCCCAGAGATAACTTTCCTTGCCAGTTTCCTAGTAAGAGGAGTGGGAGGACACGTTCCAGATCTACTCCAGTCAAACAATCTGCAGGTTTCATTTCTATTTGAGCTTAGTTTCGGTATCCTCATACTGTTAATTAATTTTCAGTGGTGTTTTTAAACCAACAGATGTCTCTCACTCCAGCTTTTTGTAGGGAAAAGCCTCTTCGTAGTCCAGTGTAAATGGGTAGAATGTTCCCACCTGATGCACAGTCTGTAAGACACGGTGTCTGCAGCTTAACTACCACATCTCCAGCTCAGACCCTAGGGTCTGCCTGAGTAATGTTTCCTTGCCTGCTTTAACACCTCAGAGTCCTCCCCCTTCTCCTTCCCAAGAGTTAGGGAATGATGCTGCTATTGTTCTGTGCTGCTCCTTACCGCAGCATCACTTGTCAGAAATTGCTGTGTGCAGAGAAGAGCAGCATTCATTGCTAAAGACTTTTGGAATCTTACAGACAAAGGTTTTCTATTTTGCATCTGCAGATAACCGTCTGCAAAACTAATTTGGATAGGGAATGGTAAACATTGCCTTTGTGAGAGGGGTAGCTTTGCTTTCACTCAGATAGCAGCATTTCCAGGAAGGTTAATAAGGAAATTAACTTGTAAACAGCGAAGCCAATTTCTGTATTTCAATCATTCAGCTGACGGGGTTGCATTTAGGTATTTCTATCTAAGTATTGTCTACTGCACAGGTGAATTGTCCTCTGCAGTATGTATGTAAAGTACTGCAATCAATAATTAATTACTTAGTGCAATCAATGGGTAAGGTCTATCGCTTCAACTTTAATTACAGCTGGCTTACATCTTACATTTAAAAGCACACAGCAGAAGAACATTATTCAAACACATTTCTATCAAACTACATGATTTTATTGAATTCTTGGATTCTTAAAGAAACACTGCATGGTTCCCTAGAATACAATTAACATGAGAATTGTAGGAAGGAGTTGCAGGATGGATTTGGGTGCCCAATGACAGAAGGCACTTGGCACTGCCTTTCGGGATTGAAGCTGCAGTTCACACACTTAGAAGATCCAGGACTGGCACTGAACAGATTCCTTGATACTTGCTTGGATTAGCAAACATTATTAGAAGGCTGTATGAATTGGAAGGCTGCACTGTCGATTAAATTTAGTGCAGTCAAGTGTCCCAAGTGTACAGCTGACTGAGCAGATGGGGGTTTCCTGTAGCTATGTCGTGGTACATCCTCCTAATACGATCTTATTCCAATCCAGATTGGAAAGAGTCTAAAATTCCCTCACTGTTTTTACTGGTCGATACCTCACAAGCACAGAGTAATATGGGAGTGTTGATCTTCACAAGAACAAAACCAATTTCATTCTCTTGGCTCCAGGTCTTGTGCATTTTCTACAAGCCTGGACTTAAACTGTTGTGCTTTCTTGGGTTATTTTATCAGAGTGTTCTCTGAGTGTTGCATCTTAAAGGAATCTTGGATGTAGTCCCTAGAACATGTTTGAATTCATGCAAAAGTAGCCTTCAGTTTGTGTATCTTTCATGTACCTGTAATAATGGATTTATGCCCTTCCATGTTTAAAGTTTCCAGCATTGAACCAGGCTGTCAAACTTACTGGAAGGATTGTAGCATTAGCAGAGGTAGCCACCTTGCCCAAGGTGACATGGTCCTAAGAGTTCATTTCCTGAGGGTTTCTTGTGAACCAGTGCTCATTCTTAAAATGGCACAGCAAACTCTGAGGCACGTTCTTATTTGCGAGGCGCTTCGCTGTAGGGCTGCTCCTCTTCTTACACAAAGCAATGGAATATGCAGGCAAGCTGGATTTTGCCAAGCCAGATGATCACACAGAGTCTGCTACCACACAGATGTTTGCGTGCATGCAGTTAGGTACGTGTGCATGTGTGGCTTGGTAGTGTTAATAATAAATCTTCTGCAGTGTAGCTTTACATCTGTGCAGAGAAAGCCAAGTCGGTTGGATGTCCGTACCCTGGTGCGAGACGTTTTGGGCTTGGTGTCAGAGTCCAGGTAGGCTGGGATCTTGCTGGTTTGTGTTTCTTCTAGATTGCTGCTGGAAGCCTCACACACAAATATGTGCTTTCTCCCTACTGTTCTATATCAACGTCAGATGGGGCAGTGGTACTGATCATGCAGAGAGACATCAAAGAGGCCAGGAGCTGGGTGCACTACTGTGTGGTCAGTATGTGGATTTTCAGGAGAACTTTATGCACCCCCTTTTCTCAGTCATTTGCAGCAGACCTTCTTAAATATGACTGTCGCTTAGAGAAAAAATGACCTGTGAACAATGGCTGCATTGAAGAAGGGTGGGAGCTTTCCTGGCTTCTGTTTGTGTTTTGTGCTCTCTCCTCTGAGTGCTACTGAAGCACCTACCTTGGAAACAATTTGCATGAATACAAATAACATTTCTGACCTCCGAAATGCAGCAGATTGCACCAAAGAGCAGGTGTTATCAGAATATTTGCAAGAGCTATCTCCTGGATCCCAAGGTCTCTTGTTTTTCTGCTTTGCACATTACGCAGTGCAATGTAAGATTGCTCCCTGCTGTAGATGGGTGCAGATTCTGGAGCATTAGGATGTTCTAAGAGGCACGAGTCTCCATTACATTGCACTTTGCATAGTAATGCTGTACAGTAGCATTTGGTGCACAATTTTCAACTTACTGAATACTCAGCCTTAGGTCTTGTCTCCTTTGATTTTGTACACATTAATTTCACCTTTGAGAGTGAGGAGCATCTGCAGGCATTTTACTAGAGCTCCAGACCTCATGGCTCCTGTCTAAGAACAGCTCAAGAGGCAAACTTTTGAGTTAAACACTGACCCAAATTAGTGGAGCTTGATTTGCTGTGAAATTACCTCTGTGTATCTCTTGTGACTTCATGGAGTTATTTTCCTTTGTGCTGTATGAGAGGCATTGCAGTTTTAGAACAGAACGGAGGCTTTCATCATAGTCTCGTTAAATTATCATTTTAGCATCTAATGCAGCCAATTCCAATGGAAAATCTATGGCCCTCAAAGAGGAAAGCAAGTTAATATAGATTAAGGCTCTGTTGATTTCTGCTTTTAGTCCATTGTGAGGGGAAAAAACACCGAATGACCTTTATAAAAACCAGACTCAGTGTCCCTGAGTACTCATGACTAATGCAGTGGTCTAGTTCTGGAAGCACTTAAAAGGTGTCTCCTCAATTGTGATGAAAATAAGAATAGTAGTTCCTATTCTGAGCTTTAGGTGGAAGTGCTAGTTACTATTTGCATCTGTGGTTGATCTCATATCAGTGCAGAGACAAAGATTATTTCCTAGATCAAGATTGATCTGAGGCTCTGAGAGCTTTTTCAGTGAGTAGATAGAATTGTAATTTATTGCTTAGAGGAAGCATTGATCCAGCACAATTGGTTTAATAAAAAAATTCCAGACAAACAAAGATCTATCTAACCAATGAAACATATTGGTTGGAGCTACTATCCAGAACTGCTTGCAAAACAGTGCTGCTGTTAGGAAGGCCTGAGAACAGATACACTGCGTTAAGGACCAAAATAGTCCGCTCCAAACAGTGGATGTAAACAGAGCTACGCATTATTCACTGCCCAGTAATCTATTAACTTCTTTGCAGGAAAAAGAAGCTTCTGCTTTCTTGAAAACAATGAAAAATATTCCACTCAATAACGGTCCCAGCTTCTTAGTTTGGAATTTTTCTTTCCACTGCTCTCCCTTACTTGCAATATTTGTCTGCAAACAGAGCCTTTTGTACGTTTGCTTCTTCTGACAGAGGAGGCTTTGGGAGTCTTGGGGGCGTTCCGTGGCACCAAAAGAAATGGATGTGGAGGTGCAATGTGGAAGGCAGGGGAATTTCTGAAGAACAAAACCATTCGCTCCTCTTTTTGCTTTTCTAGATCTCTAAGCAGCGTCACTCAGACCGCCTTCCTTGGGGAGCCAGTGCGATTTATTAATTACAGTACTGAACGCTGACCCCAATAGCACTGCTAGGATTGAGCAAAAAGGGAAGGGTGGCAGTTTCCCTCTCCTACCCTCCTGAACAGAAGTGATTTGCAGAGTGCTTCACGGAATGCTGCTCTGTCTGTGGAGACTCTTTTCATTCGTAACCCTTTGCTATTTTGTTCAGAGGGTAAACAATTGGTGAACACGCAGCGTGCTCCCTGACTGGGGCAGTTCACTTAGCTGGGTGTTGTGCTTCCCACACTCTGGCAGCAACGCTCCTTTCTTTTCCTGCTGCCCACAGTGCTGCTCGTGTGCCTGCCTTCGTGCCTCCCCACGGTCAAATGCCCACAATGGCAAACTCTGATCTTGTGACTTGCCCGCTGCTCTCAGCAAAGTAAAATGAAAGCTGGCTATTGTGTCACACTTATGTACTGCGCACTGAAAGTCTGACTTGCCGAAATCTTTGCTTTGAGGGGAAGGCATTAATAGCAGAACCTGTGCCAGTCATTAAGAAAAAAAAGCAAACAGTGCAAATGAGGCACAAGTTTATTGGTGGGCAGCTGGTATTTTTGCCTCTCTTCTTGCTTTACAATTCTGTGAGGAAAGCACTAGCTGGAGAAGGGAGATGCTTTCCTGAAGCCAGTTCTTGCTGTCTATCCTGCAGCTAGATTTCTTGCCAATTCCCAGGGCATCGTTGCTGGACCAGAACAAGAGGATTCAAGCAGGAATCATATGAGGGATAATCCAAATCCTGCTGAACAGCGTGACTTAGACTTCTGTTGTCTTCAGTGGACTGTGAATCAGACTGCAGGAGAGGAAACATGGTTTTGTGACCGCGAACTAAGGAAAGCGAGCTAGTGCAGCCGTACTTCCTGTGTCCTTGGGCAAGTCACCACTGACTTCATGCCCTGGTTCCCATGTTGTGAGGCAGAGGATAAAAAATCCTGAGCT